CATGAGTTCTCGTAGCTCAGTGGATAGAGTGCCCGCCTGGTGTTCGGGAGGTCATGGGTTCAATTCCTGTTGGGGACTCAGAATTTTTTCTTTGTCTCACACTCGTGTCATGTTGATTAATTCACCTTCACATTGTATTACCGAGCTTAAAATTCACCATCTTTATTAACTTATCACTTATCAATTTTGTGCTAAATTTTTAACTTTCCTCAGGTCAACAGCAAAGTGCTTACTGGTGACATTACAGATCCAACAAGCTGGATTAAAAAGGTAGTCAGGAAGTTGAAACAAAACAATAATAATTTATACATTCTGTTGGTTTGTTAGTTTGGATGTTGTTGTTGCTGCACTTGAGTCTGCCATATGTAGCATGAAAGGCTGTCTGTACATGGTATTACAGCTATTATTTTTACATTGTACATTCCAGACACTGCAAGGGTTAATTTGAATCATACTGTTTTGATAAAGACACCTCATATGACTGCAATGATACCTCTGTCAAAGCCAGGTGTCTTGCATGTATCTCATTGCAAATTGATGGGGATAAACAATATAATTTGACAAGAAAATCTGTAACCAAAATTTGTTGATTTTAAAGTACTAAATGAGGGAGGCGTTGGGATTTTTGGTTTTGGAGATTTGGCCAATTTTTGTTAGTTTTTGCACTTAAAAACTGTGGTTTTTCAGTTTTGGTGTCTTGTGCGGTTTTGCTTGTTTCCTCCAATTTAGTCTTTGCTTTTCGGTTTTTGTCAACAATGATGGCAGTTTTTCCGATTTTTCTGCCCAATGCATTTTACGGTTTTTCTGGTTTTGCTGAGGAAGTTACACCCCGCAGTCATGCTTAAACATTAATTCCAGGGACCACTTACAGTTAGAGGAATGCATGACAAGCCTAGTCCCTTTGACAGCCATTATTTGGGTTGTAACAGCTGCCAAGCAGACTATGAAAAGCTAAAAATAATATCAAAGCAAAAGACTATTTCTCGAATTTCTGGCAGCTGGGGTAATATCTTGTGGACTTTGACCTTAGACTGTGGTCCATCGAGTTTCTATTGTTCAATTGCCAGTTGTCTCCTGTTTCATTGCGGGAATAACATTGTGCTCACTCGCTCCATTCCTGTGGAATAAAAGCAAAGGAGAAACTTGCTGGTTGTAAAATAAAGTAGTTTGGTTGTAAAATGGGGCTGCCATGGTGCCTACACAAATGAAAATTCTGACAATGGCAATCAGAAAGTAACTTCAGAATTTGGTGTTTCTTTTAAACAAAAATCACCTAAGATCATTTTATCGTGCTATTTGTTTCTAGTTTCACATTGCTACAGGTAGCCAATTTACACAAAAAAGGAGCTTTTTAGACTACAATGTGTTCTGCACTAATGGGGGAATATATTGCAGAAAGAACTTTGGAAAGTAAAACAAGTTTAGACGTATAAAAATTAAATAACAGAGAAATTCTGAAGACTACTAAAGCTTTGTTAGTGAGGGCTTTTATTTCAGTTTTCAGTTTTGGACGAAATTTCTTGCAGTTTTCAACAATTTTTGTATGGTGTTTCAGTTTCTAATAGGCCCCCACGCACCCCTCCTAAACTGTAGAGTTGCATCATTTCAGTTGTTGTCGTTGTAGTTGTCATCATACATACATGCCCATAAGCAATACTCCTAACCATGATGACCATAAGAAAAGGAATTCTTGGGTTCCTACATGTATGAATATGGTGCTCTGCTTGGTGACCCTTTGGGCTGCTGAAGCTCCACTATCATCCGTTTACCTTTGGCACAAAAACTGTCAATAACAAAAACTTATCAAAGAATGACTGCACCCTGACTGTTTGAATCAAATGCAATGATTATGAATCCTCCTAGACTTGTTTTATTGATAGTTAAAACCAGGTTAAGTTTCAAGACTAAAAATATTAAATATAAACTTGATCCTGTGAGTATTTTATTCAAATCCTAGTTTTCAGTGCATTGTTCTTTGCTTTTCTTCTTGTAGACTGGAGCAAGAGCACATATGAGAGCTATTGGTTTCAAGGTAGTTATTTAATTTATTTATTCTTAGGGTGTATTCAGAACCTAAGGTCCCTTTCAATGGTCCACTCTAAATTGGATATTTCAACCAAAATAGATGCTCAGGTGTGGATAGATTGAGAAATATGGTGGGTGCTTTTGTTTTCTGGTCAACAAACTCAATCCCTGGGTCTTCTTAATGTGCCATCGGCAAAACAAACAACAGACTGACAAACCAACATGAGATCATCAAGGTGTATTATGTGGTGGTTGGTCAAACTATCTGGAATGGAATTACTTTTTTTTTTTTGTAGAAGAAAATAATAATAAATAAATATTTCTTTCGACCTCATTTTAAGTTGATCAATATTGTGTGTTCCACTAAATACGCTTGAAATGATGAATTACTGGCTCTAATTGGAGCCTGAAAATGTTTTGTTTAGACTTCATAGCTGTTTTGTAAATTTCTTCAATCTCTTTAACTGTCCTTAAT